TTTATGCACATATTTAGATTAATGCGTGTTTGTCTATATACATATCTATACGTTTGATATTACTTTACCGCCGTCAGTGGAATAGACTTCTTGTGAGTGTATTTTGCCTAATGTGTATATCATTCTATTATATGTACATCATTAACTCAAATGCGCATCATTATATTATGTGCACATATCTAGACATACTATCTTTGACCTACATGCGTATACACATACCGGTATCATTTTTTTCGCCTATAACGGGATCTGAATTCCATTGTATTGCAGTCGCCGAGTGAGTGTTGATCCGGTGCTGCACGGAGCGTCTAAAGTTCTCATCACCAAACTGTCTGGCAACAGAATGGTCAGTGAAGGGGACTCGTTTACTTTGGAAAAGCACAAATCACTCGGTAGGCATACTGGGGGTGTGCGATATGGGTGTATGTGTGGGTCATACGAGTATGTGTTATGCGTTCTACCTGTTCTGATTTGAGACGCTAAACATACATACACACACATATATATATATATATGTGTGTGTGTGTGTGTGTGTGTGTGTGTGTGTGTATGTATCATGTTGCATATCCGCAATGTGGTTTCCGTTGCTAATTCATATATCAACATCACAGAATTGAATATACAAATCACTTGTAACTTGTTCACTTATGTGGTGTGCTCGTGTTACATCTCGTTACATAGCATATTAACAGCGTAAGAGATTCTTAACCACACAACACAAAATGGCGTGAGAGATTATGAACAACCAAACAGATGTGTTTTCTTTGGCCGTTTGGTTGGCACGACATAGAAGCTTTTGACTGTAGACATATCCACAGAATCGTTACCTGCGTGCGGTCTATTGCTTCTGTACACATCTATGGTGAATTCCTGATGTTTTGGACTACCTACCTTAATAACACCTATGCGTATGGAGGTATCCACCCTCACAAACACGAGTCGGCTCCTCCTTAGCAACGCTACGGTTGCTATGCAGCTCTATACCTTCGCACTGTGATTCCCCAGGTGTAGGCCAAGGCAGGCGACGGTCGAGATTGGGACAGCAACAGACACTGACGATCCATGAACACACAGACAGTGCACCCGCTAGCCCTATGATTGGTGCAGGGGGGCTGGCAGATCAGCACGCCACATTGAAGTGTGATCTATTGATATTTATTAATGTATATACATATAGATATATATATATATATATATATAGATATATATATATATATATATAGTTGTGTGTGTACATGGAATTTGTGGGAGTGATTATGTGTGTGTTTAGATACATGCATACACTTACTGACATTCGTGCAGGGACGTCAGATAGGAGGTAGGGCGCATATACATCTGGAGCAATTGCGCTTGGGATAGGCAAAGTTACAGAACATGTGGGTGTGCGCTTTCACAAGAACCTGAAAATAACCGAACAATCAGCTGTAGCTCAGCTCATGCGTGTTGCTTCAGTTTCACAGTGAGTGTTTGATAATGCCTCTGCAAGTGTTGTAGGTGTATGGGCCCGGGCGTATTGTCTGAGCGCTACATTTACATATACACATTCACATTATTTGTTCTTTGTGTGTCACATATAGCTACATTAATATATACACATTCACATTCTTTGTTCTTTGTGTGTCACATATAGCTACATTTACATATACACATTCATATTCTTTGTTCTTTGTGTGTCACATATAGCTACATTTACATACACACATTCACATTCTTTGTTCTGTATGTATCACATTTAGCTATATTTACATATACACATTCACATTCTTTGTTGTGTATGTATCACATATAGCTACATTTTCATATACACATTCACATTCTTTGTTGTGTATGTATCACAAATAGCTACATTTTTATATACACATTCACATTCTTTGTTGTGTATGTATCACAAATAGCTACATTTTCATGTACACATTCACATTCTTTGTTCTTTGTGTGTCACATATAGCTACCTTTCTGTTGTGTATGTATCACATATAGCTACATTTACATATGCACATTCACATTCTTTGTTCTTTGTGTGTCACATATAGCTACATTTACCACATTCACATTCTTTGTTCTGTATGTATCACATTTAGCTACATTTACATATACACATTCACATTCTTTGTTCTGTTGTATCACATTTAGCTACATTTACATATACACATTCACATTCTTTGTTCTGTTGTATCGCATATGCCTGTGCCTATTATTCATACACCTCCATGTTATTACACCTGTATGATGCCACATACACCTATGCCTTTAGTCCATCTGCCTCCATGCTATTGCTTATAAGAATATATTGTGATATCTACGCATGCCTGTTAAATTGAAATCATTTCCATTAATTTTTATTTACTCTGAAACAGCAGTGCATGCAGATCGTCCAGCAGCATAACTATACGAGACTCAACTGCACAACGCAACAGCACATGGGCACAGCACACGCGCAAGAAGAGTGGGTATGTAGTGCATATAGATACAAGTATGTATGTATATAGACATGTATATATATATATGTATATATATATATATTTATATATATGTGTGTGTGTGTGTGTATGTATGTATGTATGTATGTATGTATATGCCTATAAATATACATACATATATATATGTACATATTTATATATATATGTACATATTTATATATGTGTGTGTGTGTGTGTGTGTGTGTGTGTGTGTGTGTGTGTGTATTTATATTGATGTATAATTATGTATGCGTGTGTGTGTACATATATGTATATATATCTCTATACATATACATCTTTATAGTATATCTATATAAATATATATATTTGTATTATATTATGATATTTATATATATATGCGTGTATATATATATAGTGTGTGTGTGTGTTTATTTTTTGTATGTATTTATTGTATGTAGGTATGTCGGTATGTAGGTATGTATGTGTACGTATATATATATATATATTCATATATATATATATATTTATTCATATTATATATATATATGTGTATGTTTGTGTGTGTGTGTGTGAGTATCTACGTATCATTTTGGCCCAAAATTCTCTTTATTTTCATATGTATCTTCACTCCGAACCTACTCACTATACTATCTTGAATGTCTCCAGGACATTTTCGGCCCTAAACAATTCCTCGCCAGGTCTAGGAGTATCCCCGCTGCGGCGGCGCAAGTCCTCAGTTGCGGCAAGATTGTCAGGCGGTGAGTGAGTTATACTGTACATAGCAACTACCTGTCACAGACAATGACTGAATGCGTACTGGTTATGAAGCATAACGGTTGTCGTGTGTTTCTACCCACATGGGGTTTGCTGTATTGAACTGAGTTGTGACTATCATTTGCCTATCCTAGTTCTCGCTGTGCCATGTGACATTGCATATCATATATATTATATATATTATATATATTATATATATCAGATATGTTTATATATTATATGTATTGTATGTATCATATATATTATTTTATAAATATTATAAATTACATGTTGCATATTTATTATATTATGTATTTACATATTATATTATATATATATGCAAACACATAAGCCTCTGCCACCTATCATTAGCCTCCCCTCCTTTGCTGTTTTGGGCCCGAGCGAGTTCTCAGTATAGAACATTCACCAACTGACTGAGTGCTCCGTTGATTCTTCGGGCGATATCGGCCGAATGTTTTCCGTGTGGCTACAGAACTCACGAAACAATCTCACGAACGGATATACATATACGTACACACCTGACAGACGCACATATTACATATACATTTATATCGTAAATACGATTATCTCATATATAATCACATCTCTTTGTAAATATAAATCTCAAGTATACGTACATTTAATATACAGGACTCATCATATGTACGTTAAGATCATATACAAGTACGTATCACATTTACGTACATCTCAAATATACGTCCACACCTAGTATTCGCACCTGTCACATATACGTATATGTTGTATACACGCACATTTCATATATACGTACTTGTTGCATATCCGTGCATATCTTATATGTGTACACAGTATAAACGTACTTAGTACATATTCGTGCATACCATATATACGTACACAGTATATACGTACTTATTACATATTCGTACATATCCTGTATACGTATATATAAAATATTCGCATATAGCACATAGACGTCCATTTCGTATATACGTTCATGTTACAGAGAAGCACATGTCATATACGTATATATCGTAATACGTACATATTGTGTATGCGCACATCTCACACATACGCATATATCATATGTACCTGCATGTGTGCGCGCTCATGTTACCAACAGATTCTGAGGCAAAGAAGCAGAGTCGATTGTCAGCTCGCTCAAGCACACAGCTTTTCGCCGTTGCTCACTCACCAGGTATGTGTACGGCGTGTGTGTGTATGTATATACGTGTGTGTGTGTATATACGTGTGTGTGTGTATATATATACGTGTGTGTGTGTGTATATGTATACGTGTGTGTGTGTGTGTGTATGTATGTATGTATATACGTGTGTGTGTATACGTGTGTATGTATGTATGTATATACGTGTGTGTGTGTCTATGTATATACGTGTGTGTGTGTATATACGTGTGTATGTATGTATATACGTGTGTGTGTATGTTATACGTGTGTGTATATATACGTGTGTGTGTATATACGTGTGTGTGTGTTTATACGTGTGTGTATGTATATACATATGTGTGTGTATACACGTGTGTGTGTATGTATTTACATGTGTATGTGTGTGTGTAGACGTGTGTGTATATGTATGCATATACGTGTGTGTATATGTATGCATATACGTGTGCGTATATGTATGCATATACGTGTGTGTACATGTGTGCATATACGTGTGTACATGTATGCATATACGTGTGTATATGTATGCATATACGTGTGTGTATATGTATGCATATACGTGTGGATATGTATGCATATACGTGTGTGTATATGTATGCATATATGTATGCATATACGTGTGTGTGTGTATCTACATACCTGTACCTGTTAGTGTTCGTACGTGTGTGTACGCTTATATGTCTACTACGTCTGTTTGTGTGCGAGTGTACTACAGTTGTGTATATATGTATATGCGTGCATATTTTGCAGGTATGAGGGTGTCTTGAATTTCAGGACATGGGTGTGTATACGAGCGCGTGTCTTGTGTATTTGTAGACGTATATCAATGTATATATATATATATATGTATATATACTATTCATATAGGTTATTATGGTTCTCTACAGTATAGAATTACAAAGTATATACCTATATCTACCTATAGCAGCTCAACACAAGGTCGATTGCCTCATCCCTTGCATCCTGTATACATGTATCTTTCCCTTGGCTAAGATCTCTCTCTCTCTCGCCCGTGTGCGTAGTGCGTATGCGTACATCACTTGCGCACATGAACAGTGAGCCGCACACAGCCCCAGTGACTAATTCTGAGAGCAGTGAGGGCATAGGGTCGCCTTTTCTGCAGAGCAGAGACACAAGCACCTGCGGACCTCTGGTGGACCTGCCGGGGTGAGTTTGCGACAGTGTTTGCGACAGTGTTTCCGATGGCCGTGTGCGCATAGAGAGTGCAGGGCCATTGCGGTCAGTGGCTTTGTGAGCGAATTAGAGAGAATAAGATCACACGAGAGAGACAAATGATGGGTGGCCTGATGTCAGTGTGTGTGTGATGTCATATGTTGTTCGTGTGGGTTATGAGTATTCTGTGTGTCGTGAGGGTATATGTCTATGGCTGTGCAAGCAGCAGAGGTGTACATGCCGGTGCGTATTAGGTGCCTTGAGGTGTGTGTGTGTGCATTGTGGTGTGTGTGTGCGCATTGTGTAGTGATTGATACTACAATAACAGATGGGGTGAGTATAAGTTGCTAGACGAGGTCTTCTTGTTTTTTAATCCCGTGTGGATAGCCTGTTGACGTGAGTCAGTGTGTGTTGTTTCAATTGTCATAGATGGATTTTTTAGGGTTTTAGGGTTTCTGATAGATGGGTGTGTATTACAACTCAGTTTATACGTTTTCTGCGTATTATTACAACTCAGTTGATACGTTTTCTATTATTACAACTCAGTTGATACGTTTTCTATTATTACAACTCAGTTGATACTTTTTCTGCGTATTATTACAACTCAGTTGATACGTTTCCTACGTATTATTACAACTCAGTTTATACGTTTTCTATTATTACAACTCAGTTTATACTTTTTCTGCGAATGATTACAACTCAGTTGATACTTTTTCTGCGTATTATTACAACTCAGTTGATACGTTTCCTACGTATTATTACAACTCAGTTTATACGTTTTCTATTATTACAACTCAGTTTATACGTTTTCTATTATTTCAACTCAGTTTATACTTTTTCTGCGTATTATTACAACTCAGTTTATACGTTTCCTACGTATTATTACAACTCAGCTTATACGTTTTCTATTATTACAACTCAGTTTATACGTTTTCTGCGTATTATTACAACTCAGTTTATACGTTTCCTACGTATTTTTACAACTCAGTTGATACGTTTCCTACGTATTATTACAACTCAGTTGATACGTTTCCTACGTATTATTACAACTCAGTTTATACGTTTTCTATTATTACAACTCAGTTGATACGTTTCCTACGTATTATTACAACTCAGTTGATACGTTTCCTACGTATTATTACAACTCAGTTGATACGTTTTCTATTATTACAACTCAGTTTATACGTTTCCTACGTATTATTACAACTCGGTTTATACTTTTTCTGCGAATGATTACAACTCAGTTGATACGTTTCCTACGTATTATTACAACTCAGCTTATACGTTTTCTATTATTACAACTCAGCTGGTACGTTTTCTACCTATTTAATTGACACATACTTAAGTAAGACATTTCGTATGACACACTTAGGTTGTGTGTGGTGCCATGGCTTGATGCTTCTTATTTTTGCCACAGATTCTTTGAGCTTGTGTGCCCTTATCTCAGCTGTCTCTGATTGGCTGTTTGTGTCTTATTTTGCCACAGATTCTTTGAGTTTGTGTGCCCTTTTCTTATCTGTCTCTGATTGGCTGTTGTGTCTTCTTTTGCCACAGATTCTTTGAGTATGTGATTGATGGCATGTGCACTTGCTTGGATGCCATTGGCGATGGACTTAAGTTTGCTAAGCTGCTAGAGGTATGTCTCTGTGGTGACAGAGTGGGTGGTGACTGTGTTCCTTGGGTTGTATGAGTGGGTGGTGACTGTGCTCCATGGGTTGTGTGAGTGTGTGGCCTTTGCGTACGTTTGTAACCATGGCAACGTATGCACACCCGAGTGTAATGTACGCATGTATATTTGTAGTTGAATGCCCGGTGCTCCTTCTGTGGGTAGCAATGCTCGTTTAATGCGTATTGGAAGGGCAGTCACACAGTTGCAGAGCGTAGTGGATGTGTACACATGTGATCACAACAATACATACATAACAATACGTATAAAACCGTGTGCGTATATAACGATACGTATATATCAATACATATATACCAGTATTAGTACATATCATTCGTACATAACAATACGTGTATAACAATACGTGTATAGCAATTCGTGTATGACAATACGTACATAGTATATAACAATACACGTATAACCATACGTATATGACAATGCATACATAACGGTATCCTTATATAGTATTACGTACTTAACAACACAAATACATATACACGTATATAACAGTCCGTATATCCCTCCAGCCCACAAATCCGCATAAACTACCGCGTCTACACGTCTGTGTTTAACGTGTTGTATGCTGACGTGTTGTTATTCCTGCTGTTTCTTTGTGCTACACGTCCGTGTTTGCCATGTTGTATGCTGACGTGTTGTATGCTGACGTGTTGTATGCTGACGTGTTGTATGCTGACGTGTTGTTTGTCATTCCCGTTCCTTGGTGCTCAGAGTGACGAGTGCAGAGAGGTCGTGAGCAATCTGCGCACCAGCTGCGAGAAATTGGGCCAAAGCCACATCAGCGCAGCAGCACAGGTTGGTCAACGCGTGGGGCATTCCGTTTAGGGGTCAGTGGGTGGTTTAGTTGAGGGTTTGTGTTTCAGCTGCGTATAATCCGTTGCTGTCATACATCCAACAGAGTGTTCGCCTGTGTTAGGTGACTAGCCATTTAATGTGCATGCACATAGCTCTGGTTTAGGGTTTTAGGGTTAGCATACAAATTCATCTGCTTCAGAGTTTTAAGTTTGCATACAGATCTGCTTTGGGGTTTTAGGGTTTGCATACAGACTGGTCCACTTGATACCATCCCGTGTGCACGTGATTGTAGGGTGTAGGGCTCAACCCGTCGTCATAGCAACTGCATTACCTACCTACACGTGTGTGTGGCTGCGGCTGTACCTTCGGGCACAGTATGAGTGTTATCTGTGCTCTCCCATGCGGTCTGCCATGTCTGTGGCTGACGTCACAGCTGTCACACACGACATGACACGCCACGTGACGTTTAACTGACGGATCGTTTGGGCGTTTTGTGCCAACCGACAGAAGAAGATTTGGACTTTGGAGGGCCTGGCTGTGCGCCTCATACGCATTGTAAGTCGTTTGCTCGTCCCGCTTTGTGTCCCGCTTTTAAGCCATTCCGCTCTCTCACTTTCTGTGTGTGTCTGTGTATTATGCTCATGCGAATGCGTACTACTCTCTGTCACGTGACTTTGCAATGCTGTGTCACTATTATATATCCATCGAGAAACCAGAAATGCCACAGACATCCCAGGTGGGGGAGTGGTTGTACACCAACTCACTGCTATAGTGATATCGTATATATATATATATATATATATTAGATATATATATATATATATAGTATATAGT